ATTTTTTCTATAGGCCAAATTCTGGAGTTTTCCTTCTGAAATACATTGAATGCTTCGTTTTCGGATATCCATTAGAAGCAGTTTCACCAAAGAAGATACGTTTATACAGACGAAAGATTGTCACAGATATCTGTCACAATGAATATTTTTTACGTCCATGGTTATCCTAACCATAACAAATTATGAAAATTCAGTAAGATTCATTTATCAAAATTCAATCTATAATCTTATATTCATAACTTCAAAATTACTTAAATATTTCTATACATTAGAATAAATGTAGGTTCTTCGGTGACAAATATGAGACATTAAATCTGTTCCAACTTCAGGTTTTACAAAATGGGAAATGGAATGAGGAAAAACCCTCAATGTTGGTTCCTTCGAACATAGTCAATATCAAACTCGAAGATTCAGCCTCACCTAACTATTATTCTATTAGTTAAATGCATCTGGTACCAGAAGCTAAAGGGACTCAGTAAGCTGGCGATTCACGTATACTTTAACAGGAGTTGATGTATCTTCATTTATTAATTTTGTACTCTAAATGTTCAATTTCAATATCTATTATAGTGGTTTTGAATTTGAAGGAGTAAATGCTTTTGTTGTTTAAGTCTGTAAAATGGTGCTAAAGTTACTTTTATCTTGCTGAACGAAGTTTAATTCTTAAGACAAGGTTAGTGTTGTTTAATTTAACATCAACTTCGTTTTTGAATGTCACTACCCACTTCACCACTATTTTGTGTATTTTTGTAATACAGACAAGCTAAAGATGTTGTAAAAGTTATAAAGAATACCTGGGAAGCAAAGATTCAAACACACAATTGTTTACAATACTGGTAAGTACTTATAGGGTATATAATTTTTTTGCTTGTTTTGATGGATCTCTTTTAGTTGCGGTGGATTATATATGTCCCCCTGACCACTTGCTTTGAAGCATTGATAAGACTTATTTTTTTATCGGATTCACAGCTTCTTGAGATGTTGATGAACAATATTGGAGAACATGTTCATCATCGGGTTATAGGCACAGCCACTGATCGGTATTCTTCATATATTTGTGATGATAGTTAAGAAAAAGGTAGAAATTATTTTTCATATCTTATTCTCAGTCATTTATTGATTAAATTAATAGAAGTAATTTTTTTATCACTGTTCGTACAGCCTGATATTTGTGTAAGGGAAAGGATATTTCTCTTCTTAGATGCAACTCAAACATCTTTGGTGGAAATTCTTCGGAGGTTTCCTCAATATTATTATGGTTATTGTGAATTAGTGGTAAGTATAGAGCAAACTATATATTAATTGCAAGCTTTTAAAAATTTAAATCAAAGTCCATATTGAGCAAATGTTGTTTGAGGCTTTGAGCCATTCTTGTCCTACTCTCTTCTAGATATCACTTGTCCATATAATTGAATTCTGTCAATCTTGCTTCTCTAGGCAGTGGTGATTATATAATTGGTTGATCCTGGTGCTATTTATTACTGAAGTGATTAGGTTTTGAATCTTCGAATATGATGAATGTGCAATTACAGTCTTTTCGTCAGTGTAAAATACTTTTCCTTGGCTGATGAAAGGGCTATTGGCACTGAACTTATTCTTTATTTCTTGTTGCATCAGCTGATGGTTGTCTCCTTTAGTTCTGATATAAGTGGCAAAACAGAATTTTAAAATCTGCTCGCTTTCTTCCTAGAAATGTGACCCATCATTCGCGGAATATCTTATTATTAATCAAAAGGGGAAACTAGGATTACACTACTCCAAGGGATTCAATTGAGTTCGCCTGTAAATGTTAGGTCAACATCCTTCACATAAGTCATCACATTTTTTTAATTTCATGTTAATTTGTTTAAAAAATATTTATTTATGTGCTCTCTTATATTTCCGAGTTAATTCCAGATTAATCTCTCTCTCTCTTTCAGGATATTAAAAAAATTAAGTTGGGCAATCCAAAAAGTTCCGTTATTTAATCAATCAAATTGTTACGAGTTAGACGAGCTTGATGATTCCAGAGATTATATAGAAACAAAGAAGGCAATGGATACCATGAGAATAAGTTCAGAGGAACAGGTATAAAGGACAATTGTTTCACACTCAATAAGTGATTTTTTTTTTTTGCTGACTCTATTTCATTTGTAGATGACAAAAAAAAAAAAGAAAAAAAAAAAATGAGAAATCTAATATATCACTAGACGACTAAACCAAATTAGAGATAGTGCAATCTTATCATCATATATATTCTGCCAAAAAATAAATTGAGCTATCTTTATCAAATTCTTTTTCTAAATGTATAGCATTAAAAAAAGTAAAATATGTACAACATTCTTTAATAAACCTTTAGCTTATTTACCCCTTCGTTCAAATAATTGACATGTAAATATTTAACTTTCAACATTGTACCAATTATTATTTTAAAAAAATATTAGATGTAGTATATAAGTGCTAAATGACGCCTCTTGCTTTTTCTCAATTTGTGCTTTATTTCTAGATCTCCATTTCCATCCAACTACAACATACACTTTCAAAAGGACAACAGAAACAACCAAGAAGATCCCAATTTTTACGAATATAAAAACATGTCTTTATGCAACAGTTTCCTAATTAAAAACTTGTTCATTACTCCTCCCACTTTGAACATAATTTACTTTATACAATTTATTAACATTCAAAAAGCTAATATCACCCTTCAAATAATACAATCCGTGCATTGCACGGAGCCTAAACTAGTTACAATAAATATCCTTAAATTTTTTTATTTTACATTTATGTTCTCATTTTTTTTTTAAAAAATGTTTTTAGCATCAACTCTCTATTAATTTTCACAAGTTGTTTATAAGACAATTTTCATCCAAAATATGTGTTACGATGGCCAAAAGATATATTTATCTCTTGTATTTTTAAATATTCGAAATAAATAACTAATACAAAAGTTAAAATATATAGCACATTAGTAGAATATTTGGGTTGGGATCATATTTACAAAAGATATATTAATTAATTAAATAAAGGTTGAAAATGATAATGCAATGAGAAAAAATTAAGGACATAAAAGTAAAAGTGAACAAATATTAAAAACTTTTATTGTAATTAAAAGTGTTGCAGATATAAAATATTGTTATGGAAATAATTAGCCTTTGCTAAATGAAAAAATGAAATTTTATATTTTGGATAATTAGCAAAAAAATATCCTTATCGTTTGTACTTATTGCTAAAATAGCCTTTATCATTTTAAATTTGGCATTTACACCTTTATTTCAAACATTTCTTGCTAAATTGGTCCTTTCCGTTAACTTCTTCCATTAAATATGTGCAATTTGGGGCAAAACATTCCTATTTTTTGCTTTCATTGCGCAAATAGTCCTTTTATTTTAATTTTGATATTTGGATACTAAAATTGACATTTTTTTGCATAACATCTCCTTACCATCTATATTCTCAATTATAATATTGTAAAATAACTAATTTATCATCATCTTTAATATATATATATGGACGGTAAGAACCTTTTAAGTAAAGAAATGTCGACATGAGTGTCCAAATGTCAAAATTGAAATGATTGGAACTATTGGTGCAATTAGAGCAAACGATAGAGACGTTTTGCGTCAAATTACACATATATTAATGGAAGGATTTAACGGAATATGACAGAAATGACCAACTGTGCAATAAATGTTTGAAATGGGGGGTGTAAATGACAAGTTTGAAATGATATGGATCATTTTCGTAACAAATACAAACGACAGGGATTTTTTTTCTTTTGTTTGCTAATTACAAAATAGTCTTCTTCACCTGCTCAATTCCCACAACATTTGCCTGTGTTACGGTTTTCTTCGCGTTCAATTCTAATCCCAAATTCTTAAAAAATTATTTTTCACCTTTTCTATGACTTTTTTCCAACATTTTAACACGTTCTCTAGTTTATTTTAAACATTTCTTTAGTCGAACTGAAGATGACAAAAATGGTATATAAGAAAGGGGGAAAAATCTCTTTTGCATATTGCATCGATAGAGGTTATGGGTCTTTATGTTCAACTTTGCCATTGAACCTTCCTACCAAATTTATGAAAACACTAGTAATGATCATCTTAACATGTACATTGAACATAACTTGTTCTTGATGAAATACATTCTATCCCGTAATAAAAATATGTTAAAAATTTGATAAATTCTATGTCAATCAGAGACTCAATAAAACATCTACATATTAGAACATTAGAATCCTTCATAGAATAGCATTTGATAGTCTAGAAAACAATTTAGAATTCTCTGATCGTACTCAAAGAGATCAAGAGTTAACAGGAACCAGCCTATAAGTTATCTATATGTGTAATTGAAACCGCTTCGCCTTTATACGGAAGCTGAGATTCTTTATAAGATATAATCTATGCTCAATCCAATTTATTTCTAGGACTAATAGTTTCTCTTGATCATCAATTATTTCTCAAGATTATAATTTTGTGCTTAATTTTATATCTACGTTCATGTAAAATCTAGTACAATTTTGGATGCGAATTATGTTTGCAACCAAAAAAATACACGAATCTCCTCCATCATTCTTAGTAATATTTAAAATCTCAAAACTTCATATTTATCAACATTTATGACTTCTAATTGTGTGGACATGTTTTAATATTCATGAGATTGGATAATATAATGTATAAGATTTTCGCCTCTTGTTCTTCACTGGCACTTTTAAGTAGTACACGTCATGTTTGCACCCCTTGCCTTTTTTCTTGTCTATCGTCTTCCTCTCTAAATAAGCCTGCATTTGAACGTTTATTGATTAATGAGTTTTATCTTCCGTCAGTCAATAACACAAATGTTAGGTTTCCTTTAATTTGTTCGAATTTTTATGTTTGGTACAAATTAAAATTTGATTTTAATACCATAATTTTTGAACCAAATATTTCAAAAACTTTTATCATAATCTACTAAAAAATTGATATTAACCCTCACCAAACACCGTCACATAAGTCTCTAAAATTAATATTCCAAACCATTTGTGCTGGTTTTACAACCCTATGCCCGTAACGATTTTAGGTCAAACTGGTGAAAATTGGTGTGAATTAACAAGAGAGGACCTGCTGGACTCTCTGAATAAAATGATTACAAAATGAAAAATCTAGTAAATTGGAAAAAAAACGGCGACTGTATTGTAGACCCTTCGTCGTCGAAGTGAGTGGATCACAACTCAGAAGTGAATTAATTGGTGTTTTTTGACAAGAAAGATGGAAGGAGGAGAAGGAGAGGATCCGCAGAAGTTGAAAAAAATAGCAGCGGTGGCGTACGACTACGATAACGACCCACGATGGGCGGACTACTGGTCTAACATCCTTATTCCACCCAATATGGCCTCCCGCTCCGATGTTGTCAACCACTTCAAGCAAAAGTTCTACCAGCGATACATTGTACTGCTTTTAAAATTTCTCTTTTAATTAGTTTTTATAGTGTGTGATAAATCACCCATTTTTGTTCTCGGTAGCTATCTTGTGTGTAGTAATTTATGCCTGAACTAGAGAATCATTGCTAAATGAATCTTTTATTGGAATTTTGTTTGTATATTGAATCGAGATGGTTTTAGGTGAAGAAATACAATACATTTTCTGTTGTTTGGTTTTTGGTATGAAATTGTAATTTATTTATATATTTATTATTATTATTTTTTTTTTTGCTTTTTATTTAGGTGTAATGACTGTGTATTTTATCTGGGTTTAGTTGATTTTTACATGGTCGTTACTGAATCACCATCAAGAATATTTAAGAATTTGAGAAAATTTGGCATTGCATGAAGGGCATATTGTTAAAATGTATTTTAGTTTTGTCTGTTCTGCTTGAGTTACTGTGAGATACCAACAGTGGATAGTGTCCTCGTGAATCGTGAGAGTGAATTTTCTTCTGCTGTTTGTAGTTCAGTGACATAGTTGGGATTGTAGACTATATGTTTCAAACGATACATTTTTAATTTTAATGCTCTCCCCATTTGTGGTGTTTGAAGGGCTAGGAATACATGAAACAACACTATACCAAATGTTGGAGGGCATGTGTTTAGAAATGAGGATGGTCGTGATATTGGCATGTCTTAAGGATAAAACTTTTGAGAGTTTCTTCGCTTTCCGTAGTACTTGAATAGGGGGTTAGGAGTCAGCAAAAGCATACAAGCAGCACATTATCCTTTTTGCTGCAACTTTATGAGATCATTATTTGTTGCTGATTTGATCCTTTTACTCTGCAGGATCCTAATTTGATTGTCGAGCCAATGAATACTAACAGTACTTCTCAGCAATCAAGGCCATCAGTGCCACCATCACAATCTTCGTCAGCTTCTACACAGAATAATCACTCCCGCCCAAGGGATTCTCGTATAAAATTTTATATTTCACCATTTACTTTTACAAGATCAGAAAATGTTGCTTTGCATTATTATTTCTTTTTCTGGTCAGATATGTTTTGTACTTGAACTGCTTGAATTCATGTTGTGGGGTCTGCAGGTAGCACATCAGGGACATCCGCGGCTCCACCACCAAATTCCACGTCACTGCGTTGGGATCGAGAAACCATTCAATTTTCTGTCCATGCTTGGGTATGCTAAATTCTGTTCTTTTGTATTCATGCAGCATGTATTCTGGGGAAGATAGTCGCAAGAACTTGTTATTGTTAGGTAGTTTTTACCTCATAACATTACCCATGTCAGATAACAGTGACTTGTGCCACTACTATCATCTATGTTATCGTGGCCATGTATTTGATATTTATTGGTGTTAAATTTATGTACCTGTAGTCTTCAGCTGGAGTGTCTAGTGAATTTTTGCTTAACATCTTAGAATATGCACTTAAAATTATATTCTATTTTATTTTGATAATTTTTACACATCCAGCTCGGGACGATTCAGTAATCCTGTATATAAGTTGAATTTTAGTCGATGTTTGTATTTGGCTGTTCAAAAACTGTTAAGCTCGCTGAGAATTTATCTAATCTTTGCTTTCTTCAAAATGTATCTCATAATTGCATTACGGTTTCCACATTCCTGATTGAATAGTATTTGGGAGGGATCAAGCATCATGGAATCAAGGTTACTTGCAATGTTTATCGTTTGAAATGCTGGGTATGCCTGTTTGTTTGAGTTCGAAATTAAACATGATATTGTTCATTTGTGGTTTGAGTTAAGAAACTTGTGACTGTTGCTATTTTATTGTTGTGAAGTTAGAAATTATTATTATTTAATTTCTTTTCTCCTTTTGGTTGAGGAAATGTGGGGAGATGGTGTGATTTTACCGCTGCTTAGTAGCTTATTTTTATATTCAAATTATCGCAGCTTATTATTATTATTTTTTTTTTCTCTGCAGGTACTTGTTGTGGCGGTTCTTGCTATCTTTCCTCTCGTGCCTAAGAATCTGTCAAATCACGCATACCGGCTTTCCCTCATGGGAACTGCATGTTCTTCTCTGTATTCTTTGTATTCAATATATGGGGTAACTCTCATGTTTATAGTTTTTGATTAAAGTTGTGGTGGTGCATGGATTTATTTTCTTACGGCATCAATATACTAGTAATTGATCATTATTTGCAGAAACCTAGAGCATGGAACTTGCAGGCTTTGCAAGTTTGGTTTCAGTCGGTGGTGGTTACCAAAGATTTTATCTACTCCATCTACTGCCTTACATTTGTCTCTTCACATCTGTGCCTCAAATGTTAGTGTCACTGCAATTCTGCTTTATTAGTTTCTCTACCTTATTTTCTTAATGTGCACTGGGCTCTTCCTATCCATTGCACATAATTTGCTGATGTTCACTGTTAGCAGTTGCTCTAATTCCCATTTTGGGTAGGGCCCTTGAGCACGTTGCAAAGTTTCTGAGGCGCAACTTTAGCAGATCTACTTTGTATAGGTAAAGAAGTATGAATTTCTTACATCTGTGGTACTTTGTTATGTTTTGGTCATTGATTTCATAGAAAGGGATCAAGTAGAACTTATAGAAAAAGAACTATTTAGGTGCACTATTTGCATAGCTTAGTTTATGAGAAATAATAATGACAAAGGTAGTCAGCTTTGTCTGAAATTGCGAATTCACAAATTAGTTCAAGTTGAACTTGTAATTCATGCTGTAAATTTGCATATTATGAACATGTTGATGTTGTCAGTATATTTTCAAACAGACAATGCACCTGAAACAATGGTGTGAAGCGGAAAAACTGAGCCTTGAGATCTACACTATTAAGCACATATACACATGTTCATGCAATCGGGAAAGAGAAAAGGAGATGGCGTAGGAGATAAAATTGCCATTGAACCAGCAGGGAATTATTTCCGAAGATGTAGTTTTACATCTTCTATTATCTTCTTGGACAAGTAGATTGATGCTGTATTGTTACTATATACGTGTCCCTTTGGTCACATATGTAACTTCTTTCTTGGATTCCTGCAGGAAATACTTGGAAGAGGCTTGTGTTTGGGTTGATTCAAACGCAACCCTTGGCATTCTATCCTCACAAGTGGAGATTGGAGTTGGATTCCTTCTGATTTTCTCTCTCTTCTCGTCAGTACCTCTACTCAGTTCCCACGTTTATAAATATCTGGATTTCATTTTTATTAAATAATTTATCATTGTTCAAGAAAAAGAAACGGGAATTTGTGTAATTGTTAAAGATATATTCTTCCTTAACTTGTATTTTAAAAATGCAGGTGGCAGCGTAATATTATACAGACATTTATGTACTGGCAGGTGCGTGTTGCTTCTCAGACTCTAAAAATATGAGAGTTTCCATTTAACGTGACATTATTTACGGCCTTATAATATGCAGTGCGGGTGTAAGTGAAGCTTCCCTTTGTTTTCTAGCTAGATTATTGAGTCAGTCTCAATGTTATTATTAATGATCGAGTTATATTGCATCTTTGGTGCGAACCTAGGAATCCCTTAGATATGATGCACAATGGACCTTGTTCTATCTTTGACCAGAGATTTCTCTATGAATAATAAAAATTGCAGTTTGAAGAAGGGAAGGGAGAAGGGTTCCTCGACTCTGCAACAGATAGAGGAGGATTTATTCAATCATGATAGTGCAGTTTATATTATATGCTTCCTTCAAGATATTTGGCTCAGCTTCCCGTATGATTTTTCTTATCCTTAAGAGAGTAATTAGAACCTTTAGGTCCAGTTAGCCGTTCAAGTTTGGAATGTATGAAATTTGGTTGTCGTGGTTCTGACCATTCATAACCTGTCGAATAGATTTATGATTTCTATTGTTGTTGAGCCATTTCTCGTCATCAATTTACGGTCTTGTCAAAAATATTATTTGTTCTTTGTTTGATGATACTAGCGTTAACATGGTACTTGAACTTTTTCGTGCAGCTTTTAAAGCTTATGTATCATGCTCCTGCATCTGCTGCTTACCATCAAAGTGCATGGTCTAGGATTGGTCGGACTGTAGACCCATTTATCCAACGCTATGCTCCATTCTTGAACTCTCCGATCTCGGCCGTTCAAAGATGGTGGTTTAGGTGAGTAAAAAGTTAGAGAGAAGGGGTCGGTGACGGGGTTAACAACAACAAATGCTGTTATTTCCCTCCGTGCCTTTGTAACTTGAGATTGGAAAAGAGGATACATGTTTCATAACTTTAGATGTATGGTTAAGCAGCCACTTGACTCGGTTTTATACTGATTACTTCTTGCTAATGTTAAGAGGTGACTTTAAAGCAGTGTCTTTCACTTGGTTATGAAGTTCTGTTTTACATTTTCTATAGTTTATAGAAATCTTTATTTGTTTAACAGTAACATGTCTCCATCGTTACTCTGTTATACAATAATTTAATTTCTAAGCGTCTATGGTTAATTTACTTGAGATATATTTTCATTTACTTAATGAATTTGGATTCAGAACATGAGTATTTTTGAGTCTACGTAAAATATGTCTTACTTTTCAAAATTGTTATTTATTTATCTATTTATTCTGGACTTGGGTTAACATAATCTTCGGTACTTGAATAACATATTTTGTGGGGAATATAACGTCTTTTGCTAAACTTGAATAAAGACTGTTCTAGTAGAGATCTCTAGGCAGTCGCAATCAATTTGTTCTATGGCCCTGTTTGAGAGCGATTTTGAGAATTGATTTTGTGACTGTTAGGAGAAAAGTGGAGACCACTCGTGAGAGAAAAAGTCAAATTTTACGGTCGAAATAGTGAAATAACAATCAAAAAATCAATTCTTGACGTTGAAAAATCACTCCTAAACAAGCTCTATATGTGACTATAATAGGCCAATAAATAAATAAAATAAAAATAAATAAATAATGGCCAATGGTTTCATATAATCCATACAGGAAGACGTGATCGTTGAAGGAAAAAGTGGCAAATTTGTATACTACACCTTTCCCTAGCAGGTAGACAACTGTCAAATGTTTGACAATGTTCTCAAACCTTCCCCACGAGGGATCTCATAAGGCAGTCAAAACTTGTACTTCTTGTAGAGATAGTGTTTATAAACTAAATTTTAAAATAACTTCTTCTTCGAGATTAACTTTTAGTAAAAGTTATAGAAATATTCTGCGTGTACAATAGGATTTACACGTTGACGTACATCTTTTTGGATAATTTTAATCTTCATACAATTTAATTATTTTAATAATATTTTACTTTTCATTTTTCGATAAAATTATTATCATTTTTGAAATTTGTGTTATTAATTCTCAATTAATTAACATTAACATTAATCTATATTCAATGAAATTTCACTTGATGTATCTTGAATTACATGAATTTAGAATTATTATAAATGAATTTATTCATATTCATATATCTAGAAAATTTTAATGAGTGTTTAAATTTATGTATTAACGATTAATTTTTATGTATCAAATGTAATATAAAAAGATTGCTCGTTTATAGTATTTCATCATTACAAAAAAATTTGAATCATAGAAATTAAGTCTTTAGAGTATAATTTAAGTACAATTTACTTCTATTAAATTTTTATGCTAAATTTTATCTTTTTTAATTCGTCCAAGACTAATCAAATTTTGCAACAAATTAGTATCAAATATTACTTTTACATCATTTATAAATTATTTTAGAATAACGTGTAATGCATGTTCTACTTTGACTAGTAATGTTCAAGTAACATTTTATTATTGATGGATGTAAAAATTGTATTCCAACTCGTCAATGATAAAATGTCACTTGGATGTAAAATTTCTTTTGACTTATGATATGGTCAGGTCATTATTTGACTATGATAAATTCAATTAAAAATAAAATTATATAATTCATTTAATTGTATATTTTATTTAGTATCATTCGTATTTGTATTAAACATTATTCTATTATAGTCTATTCATCTCGTGGTGTATGAATTTGTCAAACGGAGTCGAGGCTATGACATTTGTCTTGCATGTAAATTAGGCAAAACCCGCCATTTTCACTGCACCGTTCCGTGTGATAAGATTCTTTCTCAAATCCCAATAAAATCTACCTTTTTTCTAAAACCAGCTCCTCGAATCTTCGGATTTGTGATTCTAAGTTAACCCACCGGAAAATGGCGATGGAAACATCGACTTCTTTGCCGGCGACGATGGAGTCGAGCGAGTCCTTTGAGAATTTGAAGCAACAAATGGAAACTGATGGTTTGATCAGGGTTTCGAGTTTTCCTCAGCGGAGAACTGTGAATAAAAAAGCTCGGCCGCGTCGTCAACAGTCTTTTAGCCGTGACATTGGTCACGCTGCAGCAGAGACCTATTTGGTCACTGGCCTCAGCTTCAAGCTCCTTGGCTACCTGGGGTACTATTCTTAGTGCTTTTCTCTTCCTAATATTCTTTTGTTTATTGCACACTTCTATTGCTCGCGTAATTTGAATATCCTTTTGCTATGTTAAGCACAATTGATTGAGGAAATAGGGTGCGGGGAGTAGGGATATTTGATTATGAGCTACCAATAGTTGAATCTTTTGATCATCTTTGTGGTATCCAAACAAAAATCGCTACTCAAAAGTGCACTGGACAAACATGATAATTTGGCTGAATTTTTTTGTTTTCCAAACAAAAAGGTTAAAATTTTAGCTGGAGTATGTTAATGAAGGTTAGAATTGACATGAAAATACGTTATGGCAGTGAGCACAAAGCAGACAAGCGATTTTATATTTTAAATGGAACATATTTGGGACGATGTGTGATACCATCTTATTAAGAAGAATCAATAGTACACTGACTGGGTTGTTAAAATAGATATTAGAGTTCTATTGAGAGAACAAATAAAGAATTTTGAGAAAACATTGTTACTCATTATTGATTGGCTTGTTCAGATAGATACTGGAGTGCAAATTGAGAAAATATAAATGTCTTGCATATAACCAATGTTCATTTGCTGATTCTTTAGATATTGAGCACATGATTCACAACAATAACAACAAGAAGCTAAGCCTTGTCATCAATAAAGGTTTTGAAAGGTTCAACAAAATCAAATCATTTGAAATTTCTAGATCTACAGCACACCTATTCAAGATTGATTAATTCTAATTTCGGATATCATGAATTTCTTTGATCCCAAGCTCAAAATGGTCAAATAACATAGAAGTTGAAACATGCTCATTTTATGTTATTGCTTTTTTGTCTCATTGTCAACCTTTACTTTTTACATACAAGGCTAGTTTCATTCCTAATCGTTTCTTTTATTCAGGTTAGGGTACCGCTGGATCACACGACTTCTTGCCCTTGCTCTGTATGCAATGTTACTTATGCCAGGTTTCCTCCAAGGTACGTACAAGATGCAATTATGCCTCTTTTGGTACATGAAAGCTTAGGGGTTATGCATATATAACAGGTTTAATATTGTATATATGTATTATGCAGTGTTTCCCATTTCTTATCAGGAGAAAGACACTAAGCAAATTTTGTCCTCGTTAATGATTGAAAAGCTCAGGGTTATTTTAAAATTTTGACATATTTTGGTAATTCAATGAACGGTGACACTTGAAAATACCCAATCTGTTCAGTAAGCCCAAAGTGTAACCGAGAAAGGTGAAATTAGGTTAATTTTTCTGAAAAGAATCCACGAACAATCATGTAACAATGAGTAGAAAAACTGAACAACAATATTTGAAAGTAATTGTATCTATTTCTTTTTTAGATTTGTGGGTAGGGGTAGGATATATCTCTATTTTAATGATGCTATTTATATTTTTCTGCTGCTTATTTTAAATTGATATGGTTACTCCTCTAGACATATTAACTAAAATTATTTTTATCTGCAATTTAGATCTTGCAGAATACATATTTTTGCAGTCATTCTTTTTAGTATGCGTAGCATGAATTCGATGCTCTTGTCATGGATTCAGCTTCTTTATCTTGAATGATAAGATCTTTTTATATTTGTTATTTGGTAGTTGCATTTCAATATTTCTTTTCGAGCCAAGTCCGCAGAAGTATTGTTTATGGAGATCAGCCAAGGAATAGGTACATTTTTGTGAGGTTGAAGCCTTCGTCTAATATTTTTTCACTTTATTTCCATCCAATTTTGACTATGATATAAAAGTATTTTGCAGGTTGGATTTATATTTACCATCAAATGAAGATGGCCTGAAACCTGTGGTCGCATTTGTAACTGGAGGGGCTTGGATTATTGGGTGAGTAAGCCAGAGGTTATCACCTTTAACTTATTTTCATCCACCTGTTTTAGGTAGGTTTTGGCGGCACCATTCTTCCAGGTTTCCCCTCCTTCCCTAACTTTGACCTCCGACACTTCCAACAGCATACTCCACCAACAACTTCCCTTACCATTTCCTATTTGCTATAAACTCATATCTTGTATATATATTTCTTTGAATTTTTGTTTACAGTTAAATCAATCCATGCCATACATGTTCTGTTGGTTGAAAATTGTAGTACTGACTGCTGCATGGTGATAAATTCTGCGGTGGTGATGGTGTCTACTATTGTCAAGGTCTCCTGTAGAGTGAGGGAGCCCTCAGTTGTGTGCGGGAGGAAGAATGAAGAAGAAAAGAGGAAAGTAAAGGGAGTGATAATTGCAATAGAAGGCGATTGCAGTGTTGTTAAAGGGTGGATGCAACGTGCAATCCCATACTCTTCTTGAAAATAGGATTAAATCCCAAATCTCAATCAAATAACACCTTTGGAAAATTGTAACTTTGGCCGTTTTCGAAGTTAAAATTACAGAAACCTCAATATCATGGCCTCCCAAACAACATGTTTAATCAGGGAATCACTGGCCCACTTTGCATGGCATCTTTATCTCAAATATTAGATTTCAGATGACCGAACAAACTAGTCCTTAGGGACGATGGGAGGGATCGAACTCCATCTTTTTAAGATGAATCTATCAATTTTAAATAGATGTGACTTAATTTACACGGCACATGTAGAATGTCTTGACCTATGTGCTTTTTCTTAACTAGCATTGTTTCCTCAGTCCACAATGTATTCATTATGTTATGTTACTCAAGAAGTGACTTCACCAAATAGAGTTGGATAGTTCATTGTTGAAAGTCGAAATTCAATTCGGATACTATATTTTCCTTCTTATGTTGAATGACAGTGTCATGTCAGTTTACTTGTTCAAAATATTTATTACGTAAATTCTATGTAACATGCTATCCAAAGCAATCAGTAGATTTTTTAAGCTAGTTATTCCAATGCATAATTCGTATTCTCTATAGACAATGCTACTTGTGTCCTATTGTAGTCATAGTATAATCGTGTTTGCAGCTACAAGGCATGGGGTTCTTTGCTAGGACTACAATTAGCAGAAAGAGATATCATAGTGGCATGTATTGATTACAGGTAACTGACTCAATCTTAATTCTATCGTGTTTATTCTGATATTCATGAATTGAACATACTTGCAATTGTATTTTTATAAGCATAAGAGCCTATATGAATTGGCCATGGTTGCCTAATTCCAGAAAAAAATTGTAGGTTTTTACTCCCCACTCACCCTGGAAAGAACACTGCTATTTATTAGAAAGGTTTTGTCAAATAATGTTGTGTTCCCCCTCCAGAAATGGACTGGCATGATGTATTTCAATAGATTTATGTGCCTTTCTTCTGAAGAATAACACGCACAAGACAACCATTATAACATGTCAAAATAATTTTTTTCATTGTTCCTTTATCAATGTAATGTTCAGCAACCTGGCGTTTGCAAATTATCACCTTCAACTTGAATTAGTTATCATTATCATTTGGTTGAATGAATTCAACACAAAAAGTTTAAGTACACCTGTTGGCCTTCCAAATGACCACAGGTATTTGCCTGAGTTGCGAAATCCTTCATATACAATGATGAATAAATTCTTTCTTTATCTCCTATGTGAGTGTAAATGTAATTTTGATCGATAATATTGTCACTTCGTCACAGTTTCCCATATCTGTATCCATCTGGTTGCAGAAATTTTCCACAGGGAACAATCAGCGATATGGTTAATGATGTTTCTCAAGGGATTGCTTATATTTGCAACAATATTATTGGATATGGGGGTGATCCAAACAAGTAAGTCAATTTTATTTTTTTAATTGAGATCACTTACTTCAAAACTGGAGAAATAATATCAGGAATTTCATGAAAGAAACAAACGGAGGGAAAATTGATAGAGAAGGTCTGTACGACTTGAGTAACCAAGGGTTTGCCAATAATGGTGGTGGATAAAGGATACAGTCAGGAACAAAGTAGATTTGTTGTTAAAATAGAGAATCTTACCCTAGATAATAGAACAGAATGGGAAAAAGGAAGGGATTTATTTGTTGAGCCGAAACATCAAGTCTTGTTGAGATGTCTACGCTCTGGCACTAAGGGTTAGGACCTGCTGAGTGCTGGTGAATAATGAATGATCCTTCTTGCAAAAACACTTCTTTTGGAAACATTCCTGCAGGATTTATCTTATGGGTCAGTCAGCTGGTGCACATATTTCTTCCTGTGCTCTTTTGCAGCAGGCAATCAAAGAATCCAGAGGCAATAGCATTTCTTGGAGTGTCTCCCAGATAAAAGCTTATTTTGGTTTATCAGGGGGGTAAGTGTAGTATTTACCAGGATTTAAATTTTGTTTTCATATTGTTGAGGGGCCAATCTCTTGTTCTACCATGAATTGGATCTAAACTGTTTGATGGACTACAATAACTTCCTAATCCATGTATACTGACAGGTACAATTTACTCAATCTGGTCGATCATTTCCATAATCGAGGCTTGTATCGCTCCATCTTCTTGAGGTATAAAAGTTCTTTTCAATGCTAAATCATTTAATAATAGCCCATGGGTAAAGTTTGACCGACCGTGTTCTTTTGTTCTATATGATTGATGTCTTGATTTGTTATTTACAGTATAATGGAAGGAAAAAAATCACTGGAACAATTTTCTCCTGAAGTTATGGTACAGGATCCAAGCTCTGACAAGGCAGTTTCTATGCTTCCCCATATTGTCCTTTTCCATGGTACTACAGATAGTTCCATACCATCAGACGCAAGGTTTGCATTCCTTCTCAAGAATGATGTTAATAAGCTGCCCTTGACTTCATACAAGATACCGTGTCTTCTTGCAGTAAATGAATCTGTTGTTATCTAATCCCATGCTTTATGAACTGTGTGTGAATTTTTATATTGCAATTTTGAAATGTTTGTGTGCTGTTTTAATAAAATGGCATCATCTTTCAAGTTGAGAGGAGCTACTTATATTATAAGATGCTAACAGCTAGGTACTGACCCAATATTAATCTATCATTCTAACATAACTGTAAAGGCTCTTTTGTCAATTTCATTTTCTAGCAATGACATGTGAATTTATTATGCTAGAATACCCTTTCTGCAATTCTAATCTCGTCAGTTACCACTTGTATGTTGTTGTGAAATTGTACAAAATGTTTTTAAATCTGAAATTTTTCTTGAGCATGTATGTGTTCAGTATCATGACTTAAATGGTTACTAATACTGTTCTGAAAATGATTATTGTTGATCCAAAATCCGCTCTAGGAATTGGAGGCATGACATGCTGAAGTAGTGAAAAGTTCATATATTCAGTCTTTCGCTTATTTTTGATCTAGGTGTTTTTTTTTTTTTTTTTTTTTTTTGTCGTGTTTTCTTTTTCCCCTTTTCATGGGCTGGTGGAGTAAACAACTAGTCCTAGAAACTGAAGTACTGGAAAAAGGGAACTACATGGTGTGACCATTTAGTGTAGTAATTTATTATTTATATAGGTACAGTTGAACCTCTTTCGATTTATTGTCCTAATTGCCTAAGATTTGAATCATGCTTCACTTTAGCTTAGTGTGATTGCCCTGGTGCTGGTTTGGAACTGATCCAAGTACGCCTGACCTTCATGGAGTTCCAGGAAAGATGTTTCAACCCAAACTCTAGTTTTTCCTAACTCAAGGTTTTAGGCGGGCACTGTGTGGAAGGCTATACCTCTATGCATGGAAAGTGTTATAAATCCTTCTGTTGAAGATTAATAATGTCATGAATTTGGACAATGCACAACTCAAAATAAAAGAAAAGCATTCTTTAAAGTATATAATTCTTTTTTAGAATGCTATATCCTGTAATATATTAATTCTTGTATCTGGCCAAAGAAAATGCACACTATCTTGTTTAAGCAAGAGTTACTTAATTGTGGCACAGTGTTAACCTTTGTTTTAACTTGTTTACTATTTTCAGTAAAGCATTTGTGAATACACTCCACAGAAGGGGAGCTCGAGCAGAACTTATTTTATATGATGGAAAAACCCATACAGATCTATTCCTCCAAGTAAGCACGACTTATGTTCCATTTTTTCCCCCGGGCATTGCCTGAGTTGCAATAGATTTTACAATCAGTACTGCAGATTCTAATTATCAGTATAGAACTATTCATGTCCCATCCTTTCTAGAGCTGGCATCAGATTGATAGATGACTCGATTGATATGCTAGAGAAGTAGAAATATAACTACTTGTAACGAGGTGTAACTCATTCTGACTCAAGATTGACGTCGGACAGGCGATGGTTGAGTTTTAAGTGAATGTAGATCAGCCTGGTCAATTAACTTTTTAAGCTTGAAATTTAATCTCTCGAACTGCAGGATCCTCTTCGTGGTGGTAAAGACGAGCTTTTTGATTACTTGGTAGCCTTCATACATGCTGATGACAAAGAAGCCCTTGCTAGAGATGCAATGGCTCCTCCTAGAAGACGATATGTCCCAGAGATATTGTTGAGATTGGCTCGTCGGGTCAGCCCCTTCTAGGTCAGACATTTCCTAGTGCAGATGTTTTCTTTGTAATTGATGTCATATAATTCTCAATGGAAAGGGAGGTGTGTACTGTTTTAATACATGGACAGAATGTAGTGCTTTTGAGTCATACCTTGAACTTTCCTTTGGTTCTTTATATTATTTCATTTACTGGTGGATTGATTCCTAGTAACTCGATTTTATTTTATTTTTGGGAGGATGGGAAGGGAGGTAAAAATTCTCGAAACTTGACCTCAGCTCTGGAAACAATATTTCCTAACCAATCGAGATACGAAGATTTGGTCTATTAATTTGGTTTGAGAATGAGAGTATTTGTGAAATATTTAAGAATGAGGTTTTTTTAATGACTGTAAGATTAAAAAAAAAAAAAAAAAAAAAGTCTACCTATTTTTCCTTTAGCCAAAGCATAAGAGCATCTTCAAAGATTCTTTAAATATAAAGTACTCTCTATTGTAGAGAGTCGGCGCTTAAATGAGCTCCAAGAGACTTTTTATTTAAACTTTTTAAAGTAGAAAGTGTGTCTGACTCTCCACACTTAGAGAGTCAAACACACTCTCTATTCTTAATGTACAATGATTGTATTTAATACATTAAAAATTTCAATATTCTACAATTTAAATTTTTCAAATTACATTTGAATTGATTGGTTATTAATATATAAAAAAATTATATTTAAATAAAATATGTTGAGAAATTATTAAATATTTATTAAAAAACAAAATAAAGAATCAAAATAGAGAGCTTGTTGAAATGTGTAAAAAAATTATTCTCTAAGTTTAAAAATGCTCTTTATTATGCATAAGATGCTCTTTATAAATAGAGTGTTTTTAGAGACTCTAAGAAAGTAAAAAACACGTAGTTCAAGTAACATACTATCCAAATAGAAATAAGGTTATTAATGAGCGCAACTTTATGAAAGTTCTAGCGAGGTTTATGATAATTTAATGCAGCTGTCAATATTTTAAAGAGTAATTTTATTTAACATTATTGGTGTTAAAATACTCGTCTATAGATATTAACGTGACATTAAATGAAATTTATAATTAAACTAGTCATTGAGTTTATTATTTAACACCACTTAAACTAGTAGTTGTACTAAATATCATTATTCATATTTAAAGGAGCTCAACAGATTATGTACTATCAATTATACATCCATGTTAGTAATTCGATCTGTCATGTCAACTTGTTCGATAAGTTGATCGAACTAAATTTGTTGATGAAAGCTACATTAGAACATCTCCAATCCTTTCATGGATTGCTAAATAATTTACACTACAAGTATCCAATGTTTAAAAATTTTATTTTCAATTTAGTTGAGATTCTTCATTCTTTCGATCTGACACGTCAAATGAGATAGCATGCATTGCGTGAGCCTTGTTAGAATTTCAAAATTCATGTGTGTGTGTGTGAATTTTTCTATTTTCCACATGTAGCATGATGTATTGATAGCATATACAAAGAGACACAAAAGTGCAAAATTAGAATATGAAGATCCCTCTCTCCACGGACATGAGCACATGACATCATAATTAAGATTACCAGGAAGAAAGCCGAGCCATTACTTTCATTAGGCTTGATCTCTTATCCACAATGGGACATAATAAAAACTTTCTACTGTTGACGTGGTAAGAGAACCATAATTATGGTTCTCAACGATGAAAATTTTTTATCTTGTCCACTGGAAATGAAAGATCAAATATATTACTTTCATACCTCTTGCTAAGTCGATCATATACCGACATAAATTTCATTCAGCTTATAATATCATCCGATTTTCTGAACTCTCTTTGCATCTATTTCAAAGAAGATTCCATGCGATGAGTCATTGGACAACATTTTTCTAATCAAAGTCGGTCTCATCTCCTCGCCCAAATTTATCGGCATCACACTTTTCTAGAGAGAAGTATTAAGAACTAATTCATAAAAACAAAAAATGATCTAACAAACACGACGACATGACACAGCAATCCATCTGTGAATAACATTTTTAATTTAAATACTAAAGCTGTCCTTAAAATTATGCACTAATAAATTGATCTGTACTTAGCATAAGCTATGGCAGTTAGGACGCTTGTAGATATGTTCAATTCCCAATTTGAGGAAAACAAGATATTAAATTCGCATATAATAGATAAAGGGGCACACACAAACCCACACAGAGAGATCAGTTGTATATCTCAGGATCTCTGCAATAGACAGCTAAATCTTGTTAAAGATAGAATGGCTTGAGTTTGCCTCCAGAAATTTTTAAGTTTACAATCATTGAATACGTATCTGTAAAAGTCCATTACACGTCTAATTTTGTACACTATAACTCCCTTCAATTCAAAAGAATACTTATCCTGCATTTCCCTCTTTCCTAGTTAGCTAAAACTTTGCATCGGCCATCACACAATAGTCCACATAGACACTAAATAATCCCTAAAGCAGCCTATCTGGGGGATGATGAATGTGCAGTACTATACCGACCACAGTTTGCGGAACCATCTTGCACTAGATGGCTTCGTCTACCTCTGTCCGACAAGGATCGGCCGTAACTCGGGCTTCTAGGAATGGATGTACTAGATCTCGCACTAGGGGAAGAGTAACTGGAGTCATAACCGCCATATTTATGAGAATAATTTGAGGGTCGAGATCCAGGATCAACTCCAGGAGGCCCATCATCTTCGAAATCACTGGACCACCTTTGTTGATGATAATGCCGTCTGCTGAGAGTCTCAGACGAGTGGTTATATTCACGGTACGAACCATGTCTCGATACATTGTAACTTGACGACCCAGCTACCCAAGGTCTTTCGTCTGCATTTTCTGGGATTGGAGCATTTATTCCAGGAAATTTAACACTCATTTTCCTGGATGGCTCAGCAACAGTTGGATCAAGAATTTCCCCTTCTTCAGTTTCTTCCTTCGTTGCCTCATCAGCAAAAATTGTAATCCCTGATGGCTGGTCCTCATCATCTGGATCTGAAAATTTAGAAAACAAGATGAAACAAATTTTGAAGATGTGCACTTCACGCATAGAAAACAAAACATAAAGACATTAAAGAAGGAAATTTAAACCCTGCCGCCCAGTGCATAGAGAACTATTTCAACAAATCATCAAGATGAAAACTGTTTAATTATTCTCTACCTAAGTAACCTGGTGGATATCCTATTTCCCGCATTCTGTTAAACCAAGGAGGTGGATCAAACTCCTATACAATAAAAAAGAATGATGAGTAGAGATGTTAATTATGACAGTTCTAATAATATATTAAAGAATAACTAAAATTATTCTAGACTTGCAGCCTACTCAACAAATATTCAGACTCACATAAAACCATCCACGAAAGAAAAAGAACCTCACTCATCTCAAAGCAAGATTATCTCACCCTGAGTCCTAAAAGTTTCCGCGTCTCAGAATCAAGTACACCTGGCCTTAAACCATCATATTTCCCCCCAGGAGAGCTGTGAAAATATCGAGTGGCGTTACGAGAACTGGAATGTTGATTACGCCTAGTCTTGTGCTGTTTTCGGGCATTATTGATGGTAACACTGTCACGGGGCTTAGGACATTCTTTAAGTGCATGGCTGTACGAACCACAGTTGAAGCAACGGGAATTATCTAACATATCCAAGCCTCTGCACAAAATAAACACGGGTATGCAGTTCAGCCAGAAGATCGACACACAAGTCAATAGAAGAAAGTAGAGCTTTAAGTTGAACAATTTACTTTTGAGACAACTCGAAAAGTTTCAAAAGGTGCTATATATACCAAGATTTTACCTAATTGATGTGTTGGCTTAAAATTGCCATGTTTTTTTCGAGAATACCAACAAATCAACAATAAAATAAAACAAATAAATGACAATAATCAAAATAAACAAGAACCAACACATAAATAACAAAAGAAAAACATACCCATCCAAATCAAGGTAACCAATTATGGAGTGACCACTCATGTAATGTTATTTAAATTTAGTGACTAATTGGGAATAAATATACTTTAAGAATCAATTCGAATTTCACTTGGAACTTCAATGACCATTTTTGAGATTTTAACTCTTAACAGCAACATTGTTATAATCCTCTTTACTTTCCTTAGCTTTTAAAAATATTCATTTACTATTAAACTACAGATAATATATAAAGATTGTGAAATAAGCACAGTAATGGTAATATTTCTATATTTGCCTGCTTACCTTGCAGTAATGGTTAAAATGTTAATTTCCTTTTATTTCTTCATTTACCACTTCAGTGTTACTTTTGAAAAAGAAAAAAAGAAAAAAATAAATAAAAATAAATAAATACATGGTACTTCTACTTTGATAGAAGACAAATGGTCATAAATTACCCAGAATATATTTTCTTCCATGTTTTTGTATACATTAGTAAAATACACATATGACTTGAATGGATAATACATTTTCTTCAATGTTTTGAAATGGCATAATATATTAGTTAAATACATAAATAGACACAAACTGCGTATCGGCTTATGATTTGTGGATTCTATTTCGTACTATCAAGTTTCTCCCCAGTAATAGTAAAGGAACTTGCAAATTTAATTAAAAAGAAATAAACGAGGCCTCTCTCCACTAATCTTAAGATCCTTCTCTCAACCCACACACGCACGAACCAACACATAAATAACAAAGAAAAACATACCCATCCAAATTAATGGAACCATCAGTTGAAGTCAGAGCCAAAGAATATCCACGGTCATAAAGAGGGACAGAATTGCCATCCAATGGTATAAACACCTCACTCGGTTGATTGCTTATTTGGTTGTCCACCCAAAAGGTCTTCATGGAGTAGAGTACATGAGAATAAACCACAAATTCACTGACTATCGAGGTAAAAAGATAAATCATTCATTGCAAACCATTCTATTAACAGAAAAGTAAAATGATGTGAGCATTTGAGTCATTTTATTTGGAAGTAAATATTTCACTGGAAGGGTGCTCAAGGGAATACAAGTCAATGCAGAGGCATATCAAAAATCATGAATGCATTCTTAAATTGGAATTCTACATTTATATCTTGTTAAAAGGTTCATTTCAAAGCATCTGAAGCCATCAAAGGAGCAGTTTTTTACAGGTTGTACCCATGCATAGTTGAATACTGATAATTATAGCTCCAGCAGAAATGATGGCATGCCAATGATGATGTTGTGCAAGTCAATTTTACATTACCAATAATTCTTCTCGTCCTTAAAACAGTCAGACACGAGTGCAAGCCAATATCGCTATCTTCCAGAGAAATATTTTATTTTACTCCAACGCTAATAAACTATTGAATTAGTAATTCTATAGCCATAAAAAATTAAACTTCTAATCGCATAAATTTGTTCAGATATTAACAAAAATAGGCCAAATTGCTCATGAACCCAAATGTTGAGAAGAAAACGAACAGAAGTCATTGTAATTTTTTCCAAGTCAGATAACTGTAGTTGTTAAATTTTAAAGTCATTTCATGAAATACATGTCAAGTTAATGCTTTAAGATCCACCACAGGACACGAGGACAACAGGGAGAAAAAATCATACCACCGCAGAAGGCTTATCCACACCAACACAGAGAGCTGGAAAGTAAGTCTCTTCACCAGATACGAAAACTTCTTGTGAATCCTAAATTTAATAAACATACAGGTCAGCACGTGAAGATTGTGTAAATGAAAATAAAGCAAACAACTGCATAAAAGGTAAACTATATTAAATGTGTTACATAACAGGATAACAGTGTACAAAGTTACAATCATTTCTTCCACGACAAGGCGGGGGTATCTCGACAATAAATGAAGGCAAGAAATGAGAGACTAAACTGTAAGAATTTAATCAAACAACATTTCTCATAGAAATTAATCAGGCTTACATTTGTACAGAGGTAAACTATATTAAGTGTGTTACATAACAGCGATTGTGTCCACAACAAGGATGGAGGTTTCTTGTCAATAAAATAAGGCAAGAAATGAGAGACTAAACTGTAAGAAGTCAAGTAATCCACATTTCTCATAGAAATTCATCAGGCTTACATTTGATGACGAACAGATTTGTCCATGCCAACGTGACCACTGCTGTAATAGCTCCTCCAGCTTTCTTTTACTATCTCTGAGAAAGACAACAAGCTTGTCAGTTGTCAGATATATATATACATGTGTATATATATACATGTATATATATATGTATGTATGTATATGTATATTACAATTTCGTAGTTTATACCTGGTCAGATAATTATAATTAACGCGCACGGAAGGTTGTTTTTCATCATCACTTAATCTGGGTCTCTTAACCCCAGATATTTCTAGGAGTTCAAGTTATGGAAAATACCAAAAACTGGGATACTGGGAATTATGTAGCGAATGAATATGAAAATTAAAAAATATATATTAGAGCAGGATACGACTAGCATCTATTCCTCGACCACTGACAAGGGTTTCATCTCTTTTACAATTATTAGGACTAATTTTCTCTTCAACAGCTAGAAACCCATTCTCAGCATGTGCCACAGAGCTGAGACAAGCAATCTTGTCTGATACTGCAACGGCTTCAGTGAGTTCAAAACTCACAGGCAGAGTAGACATGCTAGCAAACCCATCTTTTTCACCATCAGTTTCCATCAAAGCTCCCTTCTTTTCATGTACAACATCAGAGATAACTTCATTGATCCCATCTCTGAACTTGGAGTTTACAGGTAAAGAATCAACTTCACTAGGCTCACAACCAGATTCATGTAATTCATTATTCTCACTTCCACTTCGAGAAATACTAGAAGCAGGAAGGTTGATGAAATCCTCAGTTTCCATAGATTCGAGCATATGCCCCCAGGTATGAAAGTGCACTGGTTGCATGTAATAAATCAGTATAGATATCAAGAATCCACTCAATAGGTACCAGAATGAAGTTAATAGTTAATGCTCAACAATCAATAGGCATCTGAATGAAGTGAATAGTTAATACTCAACAAGTATCTGAAAGTACTGGAGGTAACGTTCATAAATTCAGAATCGGCTCTTTATTCATCTATCCAAGTCTAAGACCATCTCCAAACCATTTCAACAAAACGGTGCAACTTTCACATCATCCTATTTAGTCATCTCTAACTCATTACACCAAACGTTACATAAAAAAAAAAATAATAATAATAAAATCATTTTCTTTCCCTAATTTTAAATTCTAAACAACTACTTCATTTCAAAAATTATTTAATTACATATTCAATTACTACTAAAATTTTATTTAATAACAAAAATATTGCTTTTATAATAATTTTAAAAAAAAGAAAAAGAAAAAGCATTACACTGTGTATCACAATTAAGATAATGATATGTTTAAAACAAATCATTAATTAATAAAAAGATATAAAAAAGAATATAGTAGGCGTTAAAATTTGTTGAAGTATAAAATGAAGCATATAATGAGAAATAATTAAAACTGTATACTACACCAAATGAACAATATTACACAAATTCGATGCAATGCTGTTCATTACTGTAATTTAGTGTGAAATTTCGACGTCCGGTTGGAGCATCATTTTTAAGTCATTTTGAATGTTGGGCTGGAAATGCCCCAAGAAATAACTTCCATCAATTTTATGTCTCCTGAGCTGATTCAATAAATCTGCAATCCGGTTCTTCTTCAAGATGTACACTGACAGAAGCCCTCAAAGAGAAATTTCTTCTGTTTTCTAATATCATATAGTGATGCATACAACTGAATGCACTTTATCAAAATAGAAACAAGCAATAACCGGGAAATCAAAAATGTTTTAGTAACAAACAGGTTTGAATATGAAATACAAAAAAATATGTTGGCACCTCTTTTGCATTAAAATCAAAAGTCCAAATCAAAATTTAGGACAGATTGATTTAAATTTATATCTTAAACATTTCCCAGTGCCAAGTCACGTGAACAAAACTCGATTTTAGCTCCAACGAGACAAACTTTGACCACGAAAGTTTTAGAATTCAATTAGCCTATAACAGCATAACCCTATGAACTCGGTAAGCTATATCAACAGAAACAAATCTAAACAATCAATTAAAATACCAGAACCAGAAAACTGAAGTCGCAACTTTCGGATTCAGGCATCATATTTTGGCCAAAAGTTCAATTACCGACCAAAAAAACATTTTCTGCCAAATTAACATTCGGGTATTACTTAATTGCTATCAGTAAGGAAAATATGATTCAACCTTCCGATTCATATAAGAGCGAGCTTACAAAAAGAAAAGAGAAAAGCCAGAAAAGCGATATGAGGGTTTGTGATTCACCTTGAAGTTGGGGATACTCGACTGCGCCGACAATTGTGAAACGGGAGAACTGACCAAGCCAATAAGGTCCGATGAGGATCCAAGATTTGATTCAACAAATCGCTGAGTGCACGATGCTCGTGCGCGATGCGCGCGTGTTGAGAGAGAGGATTTCTTTAATTAAGAAAAAAATGACCACATAAGTCGTGTTATAATAATATATATTAAGGGGGTGTTTGATTACCATTTGTACGTAAAAATGCATTTTAGAATAGTAATTTGATGGAAAGTTTGTGGTTGAAAAATAAGGAATTTTTTTTATTTACGTGTAATATTATTTCAATAAATAATGTATGGTTGAAAAGAAGAGAGAGAAATGTATTTTAAAAAATGGGAACCAATCAGGGGCTCACAGGTATCTGTAATTGCAATATTTGGCTTACGTTTGTTTAAAAATTTATTTTTAACCACACATTCTTTCATAAAATAATATTACACATAAATCGTAAAAACTTCCTAATTTTTTTTATCATACATTATTCAAAAACCCACTATTTCAAATTTTCCTTTTTTTCCTCCTTTTTTTTTTTCAAAATTTCCAATGTAATGGAGCCCATACGAGAGCTTAGACATAGGTAAAGAAAGGAAATAAAAACACGAACAAGGCCAAAAATGGCTCACAGTACTAAATAATAAAGTGCTCGAAAGTGACCAACACAAAATGCAATAACAAGCCTGCAAGGAGATCTTCTTTAGCCCTTGTTTGACAATCATTATTTTCAAAAATTTTTTTTTATATATATTCACTTTATACGCATTCATAGAATAAAATATTCTATTCGTAAATTCAAAACTTTTGTTACTTTTTAACCATACATTCTCCTAAAAAATTATTATTCAAAATATTATTTTTTTCAAAAAATTGCCATCAAACAGGACTTAATAAAAATATTAAAAAAGAAAAAAAATCATAATTACCACACTTTAAAAAATGTAATTTTAAAATATTAAATTTGTAAAATTCTTCCATAAACCAATATTATCTTTCCTAAAAGAATAACGTGACTTGAATTGATTATTAATAAATAAAAAACACACACACACACATTTCATGATTATTCTCTCTCATATTTTCACCTCCTAAAAAGTAAAAAAGAAATTAGTTATTTTCTTCATCAACGTTCTCACAAATTATAAAATAAAAAATAAAATCATGGACCTCCAAGGCACGACCATCCAGAATATGTGAAGAAATTGACCACAGATTCCCAACATGATTTCGCTAAAATAATTATATCTTTTTTGTCCATAGTTTCCCTACTATTTTGTGACTCTATTTTGTGGTTTCATAGCTATTTGAATGTGAACTAAAACATATTTCTTCGGAAATTGTGATTTCTGCAAGAATTATAATATAATTTCAAGACCGATGACTTCATTTAGAACAGGAGAATAAAAAAAATATAAACACGTTGTTAATAAAATGATTTTATCTATCGATTTTGTGATTCTGAAAATGTTGAAGATGATAATTAATCTTCAAATCTTAAAACCATGGTTTTGCTTAATTTTCTACTGAAAATTAGACAAAACAACGGGTGTTACACTGTTCCACATCAGTCACATCTACATGACAAATAAATGTTCATCACATTCCAAATATCATATTTCAAGATTTCAAGGATGAGATATACGAGGAAACATAGATCACATTTTACACAATTAAAATGGGAAGACATAGTCGTCACAAGTTTCGAGAGAAAAAATGAATTCAAGAAGACAAAACATCATATTGCATTGTGTTACTATTATATATAACTAAAGTTCACAAATATAACCTTGATCCAATGCATTCGAGGTCACAATTTTTTACACAAGCATTTAAATAGAGCTATTGAATAATGCTACTTGTAAACCGTGCTGACCCATCAAAACTTCATGTGACAGTGTGTTACTAACATATTCTCTAGTAAATTAAAATATATTTCAAATTTATAGAAGAATTCTACATTACTGCCACATATCGATATCGTCGATGGATAAGCACCCTTTACAAATAGCATAATTCTATAAATTCAATATCTAATTCCTTTTTAATTTTTTTTTTCTGGTACTATGGTCAAAGCTTACAATTAATTAGACGAAATCTACAACGAAGTGCAATACTTAATCAAAGGTTTCGAATATTTTGATCCACAGTTTATAAAATGTTTCCTGAATTAAAGTTTCCAGATTTTATTTAAAAAATAAAAGTAAAAAAGTTATGAGGTATGAAAGGTTCTTGAATTAAAGTTCCCAGATTTTACTCTGAAAAATAATAGTAAAAATGTTAAGAAACCTTTTGAAAAATCAAAAGCCAATGAAATTGAGAATTTTAAATTGGTTTCACTCTGCAATTATTTTTGGATAATTTCAAAAATATTTGAAATTAAAAAGATTAAGTTTATCTGTGTAAACTTAGTTAACATTATATGGGATCATATGAATTCTGGAAAGTAAATATTCTTAACATTTGGAATTAGTAACAAAAAACACACAGATTTCAAAACATTGTGAAAATCTCTATAAACGTTTTTCCCAGAATTTAATTGCTGCAGTGTCTTTGCAATCAAGAAATCTTAATTGTTTATTCTTAGAAATTCACTTCCCAAGTACAAAATGCAGTCAATTAATAAGGATTAAAAAAAAAAAAAGGATTATTTTGTGTTCCCTCTTTTGCATACTCCCGCGAAATACCGAATACGTTTCAAAGAAACGACACTGTAACCTACCTTGAAGTTTCACCTTCGGATATAATTTTTTTCCAACAAATATTCCTTTTACTTCATTTTTTTGGAAGTTTAATTTTCCTTAACCTAAATCTACATGAAGTAGAAAGGCAGGCAGATAAAAATATGTGTCCTAGTCTCCTGTATGCATTAATGAAGATGGTGTACTTGTTCTGAGTCAGAAAAATAATAAACGATAATCAACTCTTCAAAAGATCTGAAAGATAAGAAGAAACAATCTCAAGAAAGTGAATTTAGCTGATTGAAATCAGAAAATCTAAAGTTACATACACCTGTATGTTGTTCTTTTTTGAGAAAAGAATATATGCATAATTTGCTAGCTATGTACTAGTTCTGGTGTTAGAATATAAAATATCTTTGATTGAGAAATAAAGACGGGACAGCCAAGATCACCACCATACCCACTCTGCAAATCCATCACGAAAAATAGGTTTAGGTTACCTAACATTTCACAGGTTTTTCTTTTTCAAGAAGAAAGCAAATCAGACGTCCTTTTTTTTTTTTTTTTCCCTTCCCTATCCATTTCTGAACTTGTTTGTCTCTCTTACACCGCAGTGTCGTTTGAGCTACAGAAAGTTAAGAGGTTTTTTTGCTGTTTAGCTGCTGCAATGGTATAATTACTTTTACTAATTCTAGGAACCATGAATATGGAAAATTCTATTACACAGCATCATTGAACCATGATCAGTATTTTTTTGGTTCTTATGATTAGTTATTACAAACGACATAAATCGATGGGAATGTGATCGTGATTTTTCCTTTATTTTTTGTGCCATTTATTTTTACTGCTTGCTTCAGTTTTTGTTTCTATTTCTTTAAGGATAACATCACCCCCACCTCCACACCCCCCCCACCCCCCCCCCCCCCCCCCCCTTATGCCACCAATTAACAGAATTGAGTTATTCTTTAGCTAAACAACAAGGATTGCTTCGACTAAGGGCTTTCAATTGTTGGAACCAGGCTTATTAAAGAAAGTATGAGCCTATTTGTCGATTCAACATTAATGTCTATTTCTGTATGTTCAAATAATTCAAGTTAATAAAGCAAAAGAATATATATGTACTTGTGACGCTTGAAGTTTTCGTTTTCTTGTGTATCCATGGCTGTAATTAGAAGAGTTTGATAGTCAATTCAGCAACTGAACTATAATAATCTTAACCAAAACAATCATAGTACTTCTTCCATCAGTCATTTCAGAATATACATCCCTGCAACTGCACTTATTTCTCTTTCTTTGTCACTTAAATTTTCGGGTTTGATCCTCACACAACTTAAGTACTCGTGTTAATAAACCTTCTGACCAAAAAATTAACAATTCCAAAATCTAAACTAATTCAATTAATCAATGCAGCTTAAACCACTAAAAAATAAACAAATAAATAAAACAGAAGAAGCTGCTTTAGATACCTATATATCAAACAGGTATGTTGGCATATTAAATTCCAAGCCATTGTTTCAAGAAAAGTATACAGCAGCATCTTTTGATTCCAGATATCTTATATACTGGGATTCAGTACCGTCGAAGGGATAACTTGAAAATATTCTGCTAATAACCAACATATTTCTACTTAGAGAGGTTAAAACATAAGGGCTCCAAGTAAATGAATATAAAGTTTTTTAAGGCTTAGACTTCATGTTAATTCAAGTGACATAAAACTCGATTTCTCATCCGATATGTAGAGAGCAAGGGAGCATCAAAGAATAATTTAAAATTTAAATTTTCCTCCTACAGCCATATTGAAAATACTTCTGAAGCCTAAAAGATGTGAAACTAGAATGTAAGAGTCTGAAATCTGTAAAAAACAGTTGCATGATGATTTTAACTATCATATATTATACTCCTTCATAAACTTGAGTTGAGAGTGTTGACAAACGACAACTAAACTATTGACAACATTGACACCACAAATATGATGCCATGGTTAACATTTGACAGGCCTCTCACTTTCTTCCACAGCTTTCAACTTTGTTTCAGTTTTCGTGTCTATTTCCTTAGCACGTATGTTTCCTTTCCAACTTTTGCTCCAATGTTCTTAGTTTTTTGTTCATGTTGGTTCATTTCGGTTGACTACTACTCCAACTGACCAACCATTTCTCTCCTCTTCATCCTCATATAATTTAGGTTTCTCTTCCATTCTCAAATTGTTCCCTCTAAAAAGCGAGAGCAGCCAGTACATGAATCATACATATGCACATAACATGTATGTATCAAATGCATTTAGAAAGAATAATGTGTATTCCCAAATCCTATTAATATAATGGATTCATGTCTTTCTTCTTAATTCAACGGTAGATAATTATTGTGGATCAGCAATCTTGAACAGTGGATTCAACCAGGTAGGTATAGATGATTCCTTGGTATTTTCAGTCCCTCGATATTGCATTTAATTTTTCAATAAGATCTTGAACTTTAGGATGTTACATTTGGATTTGACGTCAAGAATAAAATCTAACTTGTATTTGACCTGATTATATATGATAATTAATTAAAGACGAGATTAGACCCGTCCAATGCAGGCAGCAGTATAAAGAAAATGTTTAATAAATGAGGGTCTACGGCTAAATTGTTAACAAAAAATAACATACTGAAATGAACTAACAATTCATGAATGTTCCAACCCGAAAACTAGCTAGATAAAAAAAGGGAGAAAAAACATTTAGTAAAGCTTACATAGCTTAAGCACCTGGTGAACCATAAATCAGTCTCGACCTAACTAGTCACGGACCTGCCAAGGGAGGCTGTAAAGAAAAATGGAAGAAATAATTAATATAGAGCTAATTATGTATATTTTGTAATTTTTTGTTAGCAAACTTTTACCTTTTAATAATATTATGCTGGTCGAATATCGTACACATACTGGATTGCCTGATTATGCTACTAATATCCCAGTTCTCAGCTTCATAATTGGGAGAAGATGAACGGCAATTTGGAGCCATATCACTTGAAACTATAAGGTTTTGCTCAAAACCTAGACTTGAAGAAGAAGGCCTTGATTGGCTTGGAACGGGTGGGCTGAAATCAGAAACCTGCTTGGCTTGAACATTGAGGAGCCTTTTGCTGCACAGTTTCTCTCTTGTTCTTTCCCTTGCCCTTGCTCTTGAATCTCTAGCAATAAGTAATGCTGCAGCCTGTTGTGGATCCTTTGCTTCTTTACTGTTGGCAGCATTTATCAATGATTTTTTCTTTAAATTTGTCCCCAAGGATTCCCCGTTGTCATTTGATTTATTATTCCCGCATTCAGAAGGGGAAGAATGAATATTGTCGGTACTTTGTTTCGTGCGAATCAGCTCCTTGATTGCTGTTTTTGATTTTTTCAGTAGCCAATCAAGGGTTTTGCTTGGTTTGTCGACACCTAACATTTCTTGAAGATCAAAGAACTGGCGTGCAATACTTATGGAAAGCCGCACTCTTCGATCCCTCGGACCTGTAGCCGTAAATATTTTGCTGTGCCTGTCATTTTTCACCGTCCTTTTTCTTTTTGGAAAAGCATTTATAGTAGTCCCAAGATCTACATTTAGCCTGTCAAAATCTTGATAACCTAATGCTGTGTCGCTTGGAACTGGCAAGTCAATGGCGGCCTGAAGAACCGGAGCATTTTCTGCGAAATTATAATCGCTGGAAAGCAGATCGTGGTGGTGGCGAAGCAAAATTTCACTGCTATTTAAGCATAGAAAAGAGGTAGAGGCGTGAAAAGAAGGTACAATCTGCGGAAGAAGGTGTGGATTCTTCCTGGAAGAGAACATTTTGAGTTAAGATTGTAATGGTGAACCCTATTCTTTCATTGGATGTGAAGAAAAGATCAGTTTCTCTTCTGGGATTCGAGGGCATGCTTGAAATTAAGTGAAAACATGTTAATTATTTAAATTTACAAACGTGGCCAGTCTGTGAAAAACCTAGATTACCTTGTGTGTGTCGAGGAAGATGGAGGAGAGGAAAGAGGAGGAAATTTCAAAGATTGGGAGACCGTCGAGGCCGTACTTTTCAAAATTTTAGCCACTTTGGGAAAAAATAATAATAATAAATTAAATCAAATTGCTCTCGTTTGGACTCTATTAATTTGCATTTCATCACACTTTCATTTGAGCCCCATTATTTTTCATTACATTAAATTAAGCCCTTATTTGATTCTCATTCTTCTAAAAATTCATTTTTTCAAAACTCATTTTCAATCATACATTTTTTAATAAAATAATATTACACGTAAATTTATAATTTTTATTTAATTTTTAACCACACATTCTTCATCAATCTACTATTCAAAATACATTATTTCCCTCAAAATGGGAATCAAACTATGATTAAAATTTTCTCCCTCCCACTTTTAACTACACAATTTTCAATAAAATAGTATTACTCGTAAATCAAAAAAATTTCAACCACTCATTTTTCAAATAAAACATTATTCAAAACATTATAATGAGAAATAATGGGGCTCAAATAGAGTGGGACATTACATTTCTCTTTCTCTTATTTTTAACCACATAATCTTTCATAAAATAATATTACATGTAAATTAAAAAAATTTCATTCTTTTTCAATCACTCATTTTTAAAAATATATATATTACTCCACCCATTTTCATTTCCACAAAATGGAGTCAAACGGGGCTTAATTTTAATTATATATTTCATAATTTTACAAAGACACATTCCATTAACTGATATTAAAAAATATACAAAAAGTCCAATTTTACACCAAAGAGGAGCCTGGACACTCGTCCGCCATAAAACACTCGTCACGTTCATAGTTAAATTTGGGTTAAATCTGTCAATTTCTAAATTTGTTATTGGATCCTTGTGCCAAGTTGATTTCTGAGAATTATGTGATCAATAGTGATTTTTTGAAAAATGTATAGTTAAAACGTAAGAAAAAATTATTTAAAATGATTTATTTAGAAAGGAAAAATCCGTGAATATAAAAAAAATGTTAGCAGAATTCATACCATTGCTAGCGTGGCGTTGCATGAGTGGCCATTTTTCTTCTCTTTCTCCATCTTCTAATAATTTCACTCTATATGTTGTCTGTCAAAATTTCTGAACTTATAAGTTATACCATGATCGATTTAGAAAATTTGTGGTCAGAAAATTAAACCTAATTGGGTTTTTAAGTTTATTTTCTCACAAGTCGGGTCACACATTTAATGGTTTTTAAGTTTAATTTTTTACTCATCATATATTTATTATATAAAAATTAATTTCAATCTATTTTTAGTTTTTATTTTATATTTTCACGAATCCCATTGAGTAATATATCTTAAGCTTAATTTAAAATTAGAATTCCCCTAATTCTTCTTTTAAGAATTTCTTTTCTATTCTCATTCATTTTCACTTTTGCAACCATATTTCCTTTTCATTCCAATTTATAGATATTTTCACCATATTAAATTAGTAATCTCTATATTGAAACCTTAATTATATCAAACAATCAAATACTTCATCGGCAAGAAATAAATCTATGTCATGTTTCAAAAATCATTTCATGTCAATATTTTTGAATTATGCTTGTCTCAATCACACCATATAAAATTGACATAACTTAACCCTGAAAGATAGTTCAGTGGTCAGTCATTTAGTTTGCTCTTCAATGGTTATCAATTCAATTCCTTTTAGGACCACTAAAGTGAGTACACAGCTATAAATTTCAAGGCCCCATGAGATTAGTCGAAGTGCATGTAAGTTAACCCGGACACCCATGGTCATAAAAAATAAAATAAAATCGACATAACTTTTTGGATGAGACATGTGAGGGAACACATGTCACATTTAGATGATTTAAGGACGACGCATGCAGCAATCTCGACACATTTTGTATGTATTCATCACAACTTTGAGGTAAAATAAGATCACACAGACACCAATATCATTACATAGGGGTATGCACAACGGAGGTCACAATTATATTTTAGTTAAAGAAAGACATCACATATAGGGGTATGCACAACGGAGGTCACAAGTATATTTTAGTTTATGAAAGATATCACATAGGGTTATGCACAACGGTGGTCAAAAATATAGTTTAGATAAACAAACACATGGTCAAATGTTCTAGAAATCACCCAAAAAAATAAATAAATAAATAAAAATTCGCAAATAGGAGATTACATAACGACGATGACAAATCATAGCATCTACATTCACTGGTCCTATGGACAATGATATTAGAGGTCACAACATAAGTAAATTGCTACCCTTTCTCACTTTCAATGTCACGACACAAAAAGTGAGATAACTGGATGACTATAGAGAAAGAATAACTAATTTATTGAAATTTAGGATGGAAAATGGTGGAAGAGAAAATATATTTATATATTTCATGTTTTATCCTTGATATCAAAAAACTTTGATAATATTCATTATCATGTGTTACGTTTGGAATATTTATTGTCTACTAGATGCCACTTTAGCAACAAAAGGGTCCATCACACTCCCACGCGTCATAGAACGAAAATTTATGCTTGGATTGCCGAGGCATATCGGAAAAAAAAAAAGGTGCCTCGACCATCTAAGCTCTGCTAATCGATAAACTATGCAGAACCCAATCATTTGGCTAAAAAATGTGGGAAGCCTCAGCCAACAACAGAATTAAAGTCATCGACTCAATCTCGATCATACATGAAAAAGTTAGTGCGAATCTTAACAGAATCAACGTAGGCTTCAGTGCTATAAACACGTGTGTTCACGACGAATTTTATGACAAGCAAAAATATAAACAAAACCTTGAAAATTGAACTTAATTATAACTTCCAACACACAAGAATAACCAAATCCACAACTCC